TCATTGTTTTGAAATTTAAGTACTATGTGGTATGTCTTGGTGAGAGGCTATTTTGTTCCTTTGTGCTGGGCACTCAGTGCCACTCACTTCTGGGAAATAATATTGAATCATCCTCTTGGTAATTTCCTCCCTCCTATTTTCTGTATTTTTTCTTTTTTGGAACATATATATATATGTATATAATTTTATTTTATTATTATTATTATTTTTTTTGGAGACAGAGTCTTACTTTGTCACCCTTGGTAGAGTGCTGTGGCATCATAGCTCATAGCAACCTCAAACTCCTGGGCTTAAGCGATTCACTTGCCTTAGCCTCCCAAGTAGCTGGGACTACAGGCATATGCCACAATGTCTGGCTATTTTTTAGAGATGGTGTCTCGCTCTTGCTCAGGCTGGTCTTGAACTCATGAGCTCAAGCAATCCATCTGTCTCGGCCTCCAGAGTGGTAGGATTACAGATGTGAACCATCACACTGGGCTCCTGGAATGCCTAGAATTTAGATGAAGGATCTGTTGGACTGGTCCTTCTGACTTTTTATTTTTCTCTACCACTTTCTATCAATTTGGGTGGCACCTGTGGCTCAAAGGAGTAGGGCGCCAGCCCCATATGGCGGAGGCAGTGGGTTCAAACCAGCCCCGGCCAAAAATTGCAAAAAAGAAAAAACACTTTCCATCATTTTTTTTCCTTAGAGACAGAGTCTTACTTTGTTACCCTCAGTAGAGTGCTGTGGTGTCACAGCTCACAGCAACCTCTAGTTTTGGGGCTTAGACAATTCTCTTGCCTCAGCCTCCCAAGTAGCTGGGACTACAGGCACCCGCCACAATGCCAGGCTATTTTTTGTTCCAGTTTGGTCGGGGCCAGTTTCGAACCTGCCATCCTCGGTATATGAGGCCGGCGCCCTACTCAGCCACAGGCGCTGCTCCACTTTCCATCATTTTTACTTTTTTTTCTGGGAGATTTCTTCAACTTTATCTTCCATTGTTCTACTGACTTTTTGGATATTTTTATGACTTTTATTGTTTGAATTTTATTTTTATTCTCTGAATACGCCTTCTATCGCATCTTATTTTGTACAGGATTGCAACATCTCAGAAGTTATCACTGATAATTTTGTTATTTTTCTTCTCTTTGCATAACCTCTGTTTGCTCCAAATTTCTTTTCTTGTTTTAGTCTCTGTCTTCCATGTTAGATTCTTTTCTTGGAGGTCTTACAATTATTGATTGTCTACTTATACTTAAGGATGGGTCATCAAAAAGCAGTTTGGAATCATTTGCTGTCTGTTTAGGTACCTGGATGGGCTTGTTGGTCAGGAGCTTCTCTGCATAATGATCTGGCCGGCAACCTCTGATGTCCATCCTTATGTCTTACTTCTCAGGGTTGTCAGACAGGGGTGACTGCCTATTTGCAGTCTGGCACAACCAATTCCATTGGCCATATGGTTGTCCTGCTGCCACCTTAGGATCTACGTTTTCCGGGTCGGTATACGTCAATAACCATTCGTCCATCTGCTTTCCTGTTTCCTAAAATATTTTGCCCTTGTCTTCTATCTTTTTTCCCTGTCCTTGTGGATGTATGCCTTTAAAAAGGCCTTTGCTAGGCTCAGCACCCGTAGCTCAATGGCTAGGGCTCTGGCCACATACATTGAGGTTAGTGAGTTCAAATACAGCCCAGACCTGCTAAGCAACAATGACGACAAAATAAACCCCCCAAAACCCAGCCAGGCATTGTAGCAGGTGCCTATAGTCCCAGCTACTTGGGAGGCTGAGACAAGAGAATTGCTTAAGCCAAAGAATTTGAGGTTGCTGTGACCTGTGATGTGACAGCACTCTACTGAGGGTGACATAGTGAGACCCTGTCTCCAAAAAAAAAAAAAA